GTGCCTGACTGATTTTCACGCATCATTCATCGTGTAAATTGGTGTCAGATGTTAATACTTTTCGACTTTTGAATGGTGCCAGCGAGTTTGTCGGGCTCATGACTGTGATTCAAAAGGTCTCTTACCTTTCAAGGGGTGGACTCTGAGCTGCATGGTCTGGCTGGTGCCATATAAATAGTAATGGAACGTAAGCTGCAGGCACCCAGAGGAATGGTGTATCACAGGACTTAGGATTTGCCCATCAAGTCCAGGCACAGCAGAGGAAGAATCCATCAGCATGTACGATCCAACTAAGAGGATGTTAAAGAGTAATGAGTTGCTTGGCTGCATATCCCGATGATATGGCAATCCCGCCCGCTCCGGCTACTTACATCCCGGCGTGGAGAAGTCATCATCAGGTCCTGTCCCTTCAGTTTCGGTTTGGCCAGACCATTGCTCAAAGCCATATATGCTATTGTCAGGTACGAATAAAGACCACCCACAGAAGTCATCCGTAATGTCAAAGTCGCAGCCAGAAATGCAAGCTGTGGACCAAACATTTGCCTTCACATACATAGTTGTTGGCAAACTATTGAGGTAACACCATGAGTTGACTTACTGGGACATGCTCCTTCACTAATGATGATGTTGTCAAGTGCCGAATCGCAGGAAGCGGTTGAGCCCCGCTGAGCCTCAAAGACAATCTGGAGAACCACAAGTTGGTCAGGTTTCGGCAAGGTCACCGCATCAAAAATGTAGGGAGTCAAAGTAAAAAGTTCTTTAAGTAAATTACAGATACCTGCAAAAATCTACCTGTACAAGAAGGTATATACCATGCGTTACTTCAAAACACTGCAGACCATGGATGTGAGAGTTTAAATAATGTTACCAAGCCTGGGGTCTGGCACAGCCTCAGTGTTTCCTCGACAACCAGAATTGCTAACACGGCTGCTATTGCTTTATGGTGGCTATAAAAGCCATACGAGGGCAAATAATTCAACTGAGCGTGAGCTGTTATCTGCACGTGTTGCTGCACTGATTAGATTATTGGACAGTCCACACTTTTCCATTTCCCACACCAAAGTCCAGAGCAAATCAGGGGTGGGGAACAAATGGACAATTTGAAAACATATTTAAGTCATAAACAGTGATTTTTGGATTGGATAATGCAAACAACGAGAAGCAATTTAACTTGGATTTCATACACGGTAGAGCCATGCTCTTCCGCTCACCTGACCCATAACGCTACTCTTTATCCTAACCTCATCTGTAGCACAAACCTCAACTTTTACCCTTGACCAAACAGTCTTATTCCAAACCCTTTGCTCCGAATTCCAACCTGAACAACTAGTCCCCAGCCTCACCCTCCGATGTAACTTTATTTGAAACCTCAACCATCCAACTTCCACACCAATCCCAGAACCAACCCAAACATTGGTCCCTCACCCGACTCTCAACCTCAGGTTTGATCCACCTCCAAACCCTCACACTTAACTCTAACCGTTAACCAAACTCTAACTCTCAATCTAAATTTAATCCCTATCCAATCTTAATGCAGCAGAAACCTTAAACACAACCCTAAACATTACTTCAAAGCCTTACACACAACTATAATCTTAACACCTACTCCGAACCCATCCCAAAATTTTTACCCCAATCCCATGAACCCTCTCCCAAAACTCTTCGCCCCAACACCCACTCTCACCCTACTCTTAACCCCAATTTCAACCCTTAAACCAACCCTTAATCTTAGTCATCAACATTTTCTCCTGATTTCAAACCCTCTCCATGCATTTGAAGCCACAATGTATTGGGTGCGCTTTGCTTGAAAGCGAACACTCACAGTGAGCTCTTGATTTGTGGAATTGGACACGGTGACGGCACCCTTCAGCCACGATGGACTCTGGAAACCAGTTTTCACCCACAGCTCGTCCTCGCGATTCGGCCTCTTCGCCAGTAGCCTCAACACATTGGAATTGTCCAAGCCGTACATGTAATATCGGAATTGGACGCATATCTGCTCCGTCGCCGTTAAGAAGAACGTGGGGCTCAGCAGACGAGTGTTACGCCCATTTGCCACATTGTCACATTCCTGGTAGATGTAGAATCCA